GAATTACAAAAAATTAAACATGGACATCCTGTTTTTATTTCGGTCATAGTGCAAAACGATTCAAAGTCTGGCAACACAGATTGGGTTTTGTCTGTTTCTTGTCTCTAACATCATCTGAAACAAAAAAAAACTCAGTGAAAAACAGTTAATAACAGATTAATTTGGTCTTTTTTTCCCCTCACCATGACTGCATCTTAGACTGCAGCTAGCATTGGTAGTCCTTGCTCCCCTCTCAAGGATATCAGCTGTAAGCTGAGGTCACTCAGACCAGAACCTGCAGATTGCTTCATGTGCTGCCAAATCAATTTGACAAAGGCTTTAAAAGCAGAACAAAAATAGCCTTGCGCTGAATCCCATTTCATAGATTTGGTTTTTATCCTTTCTTTACGTCTTGGATGTCAAAGTCACAACAGTTAAAATATTCAACAAACTGGACACTCATTCTAAGCTGAATATGCAAATAATTGTTGCTCAGATAGTCTCTATCTGTAAGCAAATAAATGTTTTTCAGTGTGCTCTATTACATATTTTTGTTAATATTCTTCAACAAGTATAAAAATGTTTGTCAGTCTGCTGAAAGTATTACACACCATATATGGGCAGACTGTTAATGTGTCAAATACTGGCCATGGCTTATCAACTTCTTGAAGGTTTTTCCTATTTTGTAGTAGAATATTTTAACCACCACTCATTATGACTTTGAAATATGAGCCAAGGTAAGGTAATGCTGACAAATAGAATTATACTTTAATCTAACGGTGGAAAAAAAGAGAGTTGAATGGCAATGAGAATTGCCACCTTTATCTGCCAAGCTTGCAGGTAAACACAAACAAGTTCATAAAGTAAAACGCTTGGCTTTAGTTTACCAAGCCTCATTTGTTGTGGCCACACTCACAGGTGCCAGCAAATATACTGAGCTTCAGATATACAGATTGGTAACAGACAGCATTCCCACGAGATCAATTTTGCGGAAGTCAATGTTTGCATATGAACCTTTGTAAAAACGAGTCTCTAATGACCACTTCATCATGAATTCAATGAAACACTAATAGAACATGCATCATTGTTTGCAGACAAACTCTCCTTTGGTCTCAAATTAGTCATAAACCTAACCGGTTATTGTTTTGGAGGCAACAAACTGAAGCACTCGTGAATATCATTATCATCCAATAAAAATTTTCACTTTGGTTTCATATCCATCATTACCCCGAGCCTTGGATGTTTTCTTTGACATCTATCTGACATGAAACTCGTTCTTGTTGTTGATTTCCTTGTTGTCTCATCATAAATAAACAACCATGACAGTCTCATTATAGGCAATCAATACAGTTTGAAAAAAAATGCTTGGCTGGCAGGCAGGTGCTATGTTCATGGATCAGAGAACAACATGGGGGTCAGAGTGAGAAGATATGTCCAAGGAGAATTAATAATATTTATCACCTTTGTGAAGGAGCTTATTACTCAGACCTACTTAATTAAAAATCTCCCCTACGGTAAAAGACCTTAACCTTAACCCAGCTCAGCTATCCTCAACTAAATGACTTTTAGAAGGTCACACATACCATAACTTATTGAGACAGGTCATTGTGAGAACATTGTCCATAATTACCAGATTACTGAAGTATTAATGGAAAGAGGCTACAGAATTCTACAAAAGCGTGGGCAGTACCTCGACTTAATCAGTCTTCAACATTAAAAAACATGGAGCGAGTATTGCTTTTTTTTTTTTTAGTTCACCTTGACTTCAAGTAAGCATTCAAACCAAGAGTCTAAAAGTTAAATAAAAAAATCTAACTAAAAAAACTAAAAACAATTTAAAGACCAAGCAGAAATATTACACAGCAAGACTGATTCTGTATTACGTGAATACTAAAAGAAGTTTGACAAGTCTCTCATAAATATTTGAATTGAATGATGTTTGGTCATTTTTTTATTACAAAAATTACAACTCCTTTCCAGGCCACTGAAGGAATATAGGTGTTGTAAAACTGAATACTTTTGTATAGTCAGATTAAAGACAGAACTTGTAAAAATTCATAGTCACAATCCATCCTGAAATACTTTCACAAACAAGGGCCAGCAAACATTATTTCCATAGGAAAATGACAGTTTCCTGAAAGAGAACCCAGCATTTGTTGAGGTTTGTATTGACTTTTATCTGCAGAATCATAACAGCCAACCTGACATTTTCACCAAAAAGTTAATTTTATGCAGGTGCTGTCATTCTGCATCAAGCACAAAGGAATAACAGACAGGTACTTTCCAGGGAAATGGAACTAAATATAGCTCATATTTTCAGTAAGTAATATGAAAACAAATAGACCCTTGAATAAAAAAGGGTAAAAAAAAAAACCTAATTACGTGCATCCTTTGCTTTTAAAGATCACATCACTTTAGCATTCTAGTCACATCAGTTGTAGGTTTCATAACACACATGATCCGTTATGTTTCTTGAATTGAGATAATCTAGTGATAACGCAGCTCACATTTGATTATAACTCTCTGAAAGTGAGAAATTAGTCATTTTCTCAGCACAACATAATGAACTATGAGTGAACTGTGTTTCCTTTTTTTTAAAAAAAGGTCTTAGGTCAGATCAAAAATGGCAGCAGGATGCAGCTGTAACGCTCAACTCACCACATGTGGCTGTGCTTTGTGTAAACTTCCCAACAACCAAAAACAATGTAAACCTATGAAATGAGGACATAAGTGATAGAATAAACTTCTGAGATTTTGTGCCTGTGGACTGGGGAGAGGGGAAGATCCTACTGCTCTGATCTGGACTTATAAAAGGCACACAAAAGCCAAAAACTATTTTAGGTCGTATTCACACCTGGTAGACTCTGTTTGATTGGGGACCAAAACTGCAAGCTTTGTTTACATTTTCTGTTGGTGCGGTTTGAATTCACACTGCACTTTCTCAACTGAACTAAACCCTGTAAACAACCTGTTCCCACCCTCACCTGTGGGGGTGCTGCACAAAGAACCACTAAAGGAATCAACATGAAAATCTCAGAAGAAGACATGGAGCGCAACTTCCTTCTTCCAAAATGTAAACAATAGTTACGTTACATTTTAGCGGTTATAGGGTTTATTTTTTGTTTTTGGCAAATGTGCTAAACAAATAGTCTTCAACAATGAACTCAGCATGAGAGGAAGATGAGGCGGAACCACGGAGAATGTTGTTTTGCACACAAGTCAGCTGAAGAAGCTCCGTGTTCATCGAGTAGGAGCGCGTCCAGCTCCACAGACATGATGTCCACCTTATACAGTCGTCCAGCGAGGTATTTACACCATAAGTAAATTTAATACTGTTATTACTCAGAATGTCATGCGGTATAGTCGGCTTCCTGCTTTTGGTGTGGTCTCTGGTCCGCTTAGCGTTCACACATGCAATTGAACCGCATCAGAGTTCGTTTCAATCGAACCGAGACCTAGGTTTTCAGGCGGACCAAGGTTCGTTTTTTGGTCCGAATCAGAGTTCAATTACGCATTCACACGTCCACAAACAAACCAGACTTTCCGGGCAAACGAACTAGAGTTTGATTGAATCGGACTAAACAGTGCAGGTGTGAACATGACCTAAGAAACCAACATAAAACACAAACTCAAAAGAGGCTGTTAAAAATACAAAGACAACACCTGAGCGGAGATCAGTGTCTTTGACAAAATTATTTACTTGTGATTGAAGCAACAAGGACCAGACCCAGCAGGGAACCATGCCTGGCTGCAACCAAAGTGATTTACACTGACTGGGCCAGACAGTACAGGGAATTTTACAGCACTGGAGAACAACTCTCTCTTGACAGCCAGTTCTCTCTCTGGCACAGAAAACCTACAAGGAAAGAATAAATCTTGGGAGAGGAGCTACATAAATGACAACAACAAAAGGGAGACAAAATATAGAGGAGAAAAGAATATGGGGGTGCAATTACATTACAGGTAACACATTTGTCTTCACAATAAAAAAAAGATGCAAGAAAAGGAATCACTAATTAATCACAGATCCATAAACCACTTCTGTCTGGTAAATAAAAGGCACATGCACTTGATCTTCTTCCTTCACTGTTGAATAAAATGATTTCCAGTGAAACTGATGCCATCTGTGAAGAGTCAAGTGGCTACACAGATGAGGTGATAATTTATGGATCTTAAATTATTAATCTGAAGACTCAAATAGCTAATTCCAAATTCATAATAATCTCTACAAAAACGCACCGGTCATGAATCAACATGCACCCTCCAGGCAGCACGGAAATATGAAAATAATCCTGAATGCCAATCTAAAAGGGCAAATGAAAGCCATCTGAAATACCTTAGTTGGGCACTGTCACTTCACTTACAATGAGCAATAATGGATCAGCCAGCTTTAAGTGATGAAAAGAGCCATTAAGCCCACAGTTAGTCACACTGAGATGATTTGCATAAATGTATAAAATAAAGCCTGCAGTCAAGCAGTTTACAGACAAAGTCGAGCAGGGGAAGATGAAGCTGCAGGAGCAATCACTGTAAGAAAAGGTGACCTATGTGGTTTGCCGTAAAGCGATCCATGGGGTTCCGAGTGAGGTTAAGGGAACACAGACGCACTGGGGACGCATGAAAGGGAATGTAATTGAGTGAGAGAACAAAGAGTGAGCTGAGTGGAGGGAGGGATGAGAAAGAATATGGCATCTGATTGTGATACAGGCAGACAGCACAAACACCAAAGACGGGATTGATAAACTCAAACTGTAGCCAGCACATTAGTGCCAGGTGCCATGATGCCTGTGTTGACCTTGACAAAGGCAAATTGCCCCATTAACTCTTTTGATTTAACTAATGGGTTGGCATATGTACACATTTAGAGAATGAGAGATCCGAATTACAAAACAATTTTTTAAAGCCAAGGGGGACATCAGCATCATTGGGTGTAAAGATTACAGCCAGTTACTAGCATATAAAGAGCTTTACATTGTCAATTAACGTGAATTTTTAGGATAAAATAAGATTAAAATGCTTACCTTTGAGCTGGTCTGCCACACTTTGTCCGATCCTCTCATTCACCTGTCCATCTTCATGCTGGTAACGATCATCCAGGAAGTTGAACGTGGCTTGTGATAGGTGGACTTTTCCAGCTACGCCCAGCTGCTCCATCAGATTGGCCAGGTTGACATCATTCGACCAAACGTCAAACTTGAAGCGTTTCATGCCCAGGATCCCACACAGCACGGTCCCAGTGTGAACACCCACCCTCATGTTCACCATCTCCCTCTTCTCCTGGCAGAACTGCTCAATGGCCTGAATCATGCCCAGGCCCATTTCTACGCAGCAGTACGCATGGTCCGGTCTGGGTTCTGGACAACCAGCCACGCAATAGTAACAGTCTCCTAGCGTGCTGATCTTCTCACAGCCTGTAAGTTCACAAAGTCGATCAAAACGTCCAAACAAGTCGTTTAAAAGCCCAACTAAAGCATGAGCTGATTTGTTGGCAGACATTTTGGTAAAGCCAACAATGTCTGCAAAGAGGATGCTAACAGGCTCCATTCGTTTCATGTTGAAGGGCCTGAAGATGATCTGGCCTCGGGGGATAGAGGTTTTCTTGCGTTTGTTGTTTTTTGGGCTGGAGATGACGGCAGCTGCACCACTAGTGGAGTAACGTTTCATCGAACTGTCGCCAATCTCCTCATCACCCTGCTTCATCAACTCATCTGCCACAATTCTGGGCATGACAGAGTGAATCATTCTTTCCTTCAAGGCTTTCTCCACCTCCAGGTCTTTGCCGTGCATGATGGCTTGTCCAACCTTAAGAAAGGTGCTGCGTGAACGCACTTCAGACATGATGAACAGGTGGATGCCAATGGCATGAGCGCAAAGATGAAGCAAGGCTTTGGCTGGGCCCAACCAGCTGAGTGTTTCCCAGTCTGCTGGAGAGGCTAGGCTCCAGTTCTCCTCTGTCTGGGTCAGTTGCAGCCAGCCCAAACTCTCAAACAAGACAGAGTAGAAAACTCCCAGCAGGACAGAGGCATAAAGATGAAAGTGGAGGACGCTATACAACAGAAGAAGAACCTCGATACAGAGGGAGAAGGTGCCTACAGATGAAAGACAAGGAGACCTGCAGCTACTTCTCACAAGCTTCTCATAGGACTGGTTGTAAATGAGCCCCATGTCACTCCATTCTTCTACTTCAGGCACAGGCGTGGAAATATCTGAGTCCCTAAAGCCTAATGTCTGGATTTGGGGGGCCAGAGTCAAGATAAAGGTTACAAGGACAAGCAGCAGAGATGCTAGGTTGTAGCAGCGAGAGTACAGCTTGGTAAAAGTCAAGAGAAAGAGAAGTAGGCAGAAGAGAAGAAAGGAAGTGGTGGGAAGCAGAAAAATAACCCTGTCACAACGAGATGGATTGGCAGCAAAATACACCCCCCAGAGGAAACTGGCGGCCACCAAAAAGAAAAGCACATAGCGGAAGCGACGCTGAGTCTGGGGGAAACACCGTTCTCGACAGGCCTCCTCCAAGATCGAGGAGTCAAACTTTGGGTCCCAGAAATGGCCTGCCGACCTCTCAAAGAGCTGAGGCATCCCCTTGTGACCACGAAAGCTCTTGACCACCGGCCTCCTCACTCCAGACTCCCCGGAGCTACAGCTCGAAGAAATGCTGTACTTGCAGTGCTTGGTTGCTCCTATGAAGCCTCCCCCGATTGAACCCAGGGGCCCTCCAACATGCTTGTGTTTGACACTGCTGCCAATTCTCACCGAGACGCCTCCATCTCCACTTGAGTCACAGCACACTTCTGTGTTGTGAGGCAACAGCTGTTGATGTTGGGGAGATGCCATACTGTCTTTTTTTTTCTCTATCAATAAGCAAGAAGAAAACAGTGACTTGTGAGAAAATGTAGACAGAGAGGTAAGGCAAAGTATCCAGCCCCAACAAAATGAACACAAAGCACAGCTTTCAAAGCATCTACTCAGTTTACAGATCTCTGGCTGTAACTGGACCAGCAGACTAAAGTTTTAGAGCAGTTCATTATTGCCCTCTTGACGTCAGTCTCTGCATTCCTCTACATTCCCCTCTGTTTTGACGCACTCGAAACTGCAAGGTCCACTGCCTGCTGATCCAGTCCAAGTCGACTAAGCAGCCAAGGCTTTGATTCACTCATTAGAAAAATATTCAGAAAAACTGCGAAAATAATGGGCCAAACTGAAAAAGCTGAATGAAAATCAATACATGAGCTCAGAGGACGCCTGAAGTTGCAGCTAAATTTGGAGAGCCCAATAAATAAGTCAATAAAATTAATACTTCAATGTCCAGTCCACTTGATCCGTTCAGTTTTTCCTCATTTTCATTGAGCAAATTCAAAAATAGCTACTTCCTCAACGAGCCCATGTTTTGTTTATTTGGCAAGCCTTCACGCAAAGCAGTTCTGCTGCAGAGTTGTTGTCACTTCTGTTGCTGGAATAAGATCAACAGTAACATGAGCGCAGAGGCTTTTAAATCCAGACATGCTGCTTGCTCCGGGGCCTAATGGCAACTGTTTTTACGGACAGAGCCTCGTCCTTTCCTGACTTTCCACTCCACCAAACTCAAGAGATCTTTGTGCCAGCAGGTCCACAGGATGTGGTCACCTAATTAAATATTTGGATTTACTGCATAATCACCTGGTGACGCTCCCCGAGGATATGCATAAAGCACTTTCAATCCAGCGTTGTGTTTTAATATCCTGCCACATGGCACCAAACCATCGTGACAGAGACTGCGCCCCAGAAAAAAAAAAGGAGGGGAAACGTCCCGATGGTCCAAATAATCTCACCGTGGCTGTTCCTGAGTGACAGCTGCAAAGAAAAACATCACCTTGAGCAGAGTCTAAGAGTCCTGCGATTTTCTCTTTTTTAACCGGCGTAAAGTTTGCTCGCTATCGATGGGTCACCGCTTCCAAATGCCACAAAAACCTAAACAAGAAAAAAAAAAAAAAAAAAAAAAAAAAAAGGGGGTCTCCACCTCCTCTCCACGCCCCCCTCCACATTCACACCTCAGCCCCACAGGTTACAGCTTAGCGCCGCTCTGATCCGTCCACTTTAACTGGCTGAGCTCTGCTGGGATGCTGGTCACACATCCAAATAAAACCACTTTCATTTAAGAATAATTTGATATCAGGGCTGCTCCAAAGTCCCGCCTTTGTTTCCCCTGTAAAGAAGCATGAATGTCTTCTTTCCTGGTTATTTGACCATTTGGGGGCAGCTGAACCGCTTCTGTGCGCATTTCTGCTGCGGCGCGCAAAACACAGCGGCTGCAGCCGCCACCATCTTCTGTACGCTGACAGCAGTTCAGCCGCGAGCGTCTGAATGTGTGTGACAGGAAAAAGAGAGAGAGAGAGAAGTGGGAATACATCAGAAATAATAATGATCACTTCCGCTTTGTTCCTTAACAATAAAAGCCCATGACTTTTTGTTGGTGTTTCCAATTAACTGGTTGCTTTTACAGATATGAGCTTTATTAAGTTTATGAACAATTAACATCTTACCTGTTGCAGATGACACTTTGAACAGAATCAGATGAGAGCTGAAGAAATGAAGTGTCGAGTTAGCTGTGTTGTGGTAGTTTTCAAAATTTTAACTGGAATTTTGTTTTATCAACTATATAGCAAATCAAAAAGAAAAAAATTGTATAGGTCTTCTGGACGGGTTCTTCTCTAATGAAACGTTTCGTCTCTCCTCCAAGAGACTTCTTCAGTCTGAGAGTTTCAGGCAAAATTCAGGCTTTTAAGCACTGCCTCCATGTGACTGATACTCACATCACATGGCTATCGTTGACACCTAATTAACACCTATTGTTAACAGGGGGTGGAGTGATACTGGCAATGGCCGCACTGTAGGAGGGGGACAACTGAAAACGGAYGCCTCCACCTCTGTTTAATGATGGACGGTCTTTCTTCACAAAAATGGCTTCTTTTACTCCTCTCTCAAACCAACGTTCCTCTCTATCAAGAATGAGAACATCCTCATCTCTGAAAGAGTGACCGCTGGCCTGTAAATGAGTGAAAACTGCAGTTCTGGCCATTAGATGTAGCTCGTCTGTGTTGGGACATTCTTATAGCAAATGTACTAAAAAATAGAAAAACTATAGACAGCTAAAACTATATAGAAACCATATTCTAATTATGCAAAAATACTGAAGCAGTTTAACAACATAAAACAAGTCACATTCCAAACCTTGTGCTCTGCAGCTTGTTCTAATTAGTTTATTTGCTCACACTACAGTCACAGTTCTCAAATAGGTTATAATGTAAAAGCTACACTTTAGACAAAAAAATATAACGATATATGTAAATACATTTTATATTTATAGATCTTTTTTAAACGACTTGTTACTGTCTTAAAAAAAACTTCAAACAAAAAATGCATTGCAGTTCATTCAAACACCATTTTTTTACAAGGTTGTCGGTTTTAATTGAAAAACAATGCAGTGGCTATTTTAGCACCCTGGGGCACTTCTGGTATGAATGTTATTGTTTTTTTCTACTATTATAATGTCATATAGGCCAGCCTAGTTCTGGTAAATTCAGTTTTTGACATTTATTTTGAAATTTATTTTACTTCCGTTTTGTTGATGACTGCTGACTTGACGCTGCTGTCTGAGCTTGTCGACCACAAGGGAGGAGAAGAAAGGTTGAGGGAGCCAGAGGCGAGGGAACACAGGGTGGGCACACGCACGCACCTGGCGGAAAAAACAAAAGCACGAGGATGATTTCAATGACAAAGCCCCCAATAAACTGCTGTGTCACACAACGATGCACGTTTTTACTACAACAACAGAATAGAAATAGCCTTTATTGTCGCCCCGTGGGGAAATTCAGGACTTACAAGATGACAGAAGTCTTAAAATGTGACAGGGCCAGATCATTTTGAAGTTGAATAATTGACGTGAAAAGAAACCAAACAGAACAGGAAACAGAAGTCTTGAATTATTTGTGTAGCCTGGTTCAAAGACAGACTGCAGCTTTATTGTTCTGGGCTGTATTCAGTTGTCTGGAATGGATACTAAACAGCAAAACCTCTGTAGTTGCTACAGTTTGAGGCTTTTTTTTTTTTTTTTTTTGTGGGAACTCAGCTCTCCTTCACCATGAAAAGGAGCAGATCCTTCACGATGATGAAAAAGAGATGTTGAAAATAAAAATGTGACATAGCCTTAACGTTAAAAGTCATCACTGTCACAAAAGTAAATTAGCTTTGACAATATATTTTTTTAAAAAATTAGTATTTTTTTTTTCTGGAACACTTTTAGAATGTAGTTGTTGGTCTTTCTGACCTGAAGTTTCCTTTTTGTATCCAGCAGGTAAAGTGCAGTTCAGGCCGAGCTAAGAATGTGCAGCTTTTTTTCTTTTTTCTTTTTTTAACCAGGTTGTTTTCAGTCCAGGCTCCATTTGTGCTGTAAAGTATCAGCTGTGCCTAGGCTAAATCTAATCAGCCAACATATCACTATATCCAGCGTCATCTATCCTAACTCGCTTAATCAATAAACACTATTGATGCAGTAACTTGGAGCCATTGAAGTGTATTTTAATGATGACCGTTCTTCTGTCTTTGAACTCTCAGCAGTGATGGAGCGCTTAAAGAAATGACTCTGAAGGCAAAAGTTATTCTTGAACAGTGAGGTTTGTAAAGAATAACAGCCTAAACCGAATCAAGAGACTTCGAGCCAAATGAGTGAAGATCTCCCCAGAACTTTCTGGGTCACCCCTTCTTATGACCTTCTACCACACCCAGAAGTAAATAAAGCAGGACCAACATGCATTCCTTCTATGGTATAGCAGTTTGCTCCTGAAATGTATTTTAAGACACACAAACATGTTTACCACTGAAAGCTAAATGAGCTAAGGATGAGCTCATTCTTCCCATCCTTATAAGGAATTGCTGAGTCGTTAATTTAAGAACAAACACTTCCTTGATTGACACACACAGGCCTCATCACACACCTCACCATGCTTACCTTTCTACACCACAGTGTGTTTTTCGTGTCTTCCTGGAACAAAGCGACCTTCGTTTCTTTTTTCCAAACATGCTGGTTCAATATTTAAACTTTTTGGATGTTTTTAATAAGATTAATTTTTCATTAACAGATTCCATCTTTCTGCAAAACCGTGTTATTTGCTTGACAAGATTTTGTGAAATGTCCTTAGACCAGTGTCTTTATTATGGAAAGCAAACTGTATTTATTCACTCTTGAGGTTTTCAGGCCTTTTCACCAATTTCAACCTGAACACTTATTTATTTTTGTTTCTATTGCTCTGATGGACTGGTTTTGTTTCGACATCACTGCAGTCTGCTGCACTTCCGTATAAGTTTTCTTGATTGCATGTTTTGCATGCACCGAACTTTCACTTGTTCAGAACTTTTCACTAAAAATTGCGAAGATGTGTAGAGTTTTCCATTTAACACTTTCAGACTGTATTTAAATTCCTGAATGAGGGGAAACTAAATCACGGGTTTACACGGGGTTTAAAGAAGGGTTCGTTCAGCTGTCACTTTTCAGTGAGAAGGCCACAGCTTTCTAACCTGAGGCCTTTCTGTGTGGAGTTTACATGTTCTCCCTGTGCATGAATGGGTTTTCTTTAGGTATAGGTTCAAAGAAGCATGTATGTAAGATTAATTTGTCCCTTTGGAAGAATGAATGGTTCTTTGTCTTGTTTGTGTCCTTGTGATGGTCTGGAGACCTGTCCATGGTGTGCACCGCCTCTCGCGCAGTGACTGTTCCTCTTTACCAGGAAATGGAAGCAAGTATAGAAAATGGATGGACAGATGTTTTAAAGAGAAATTGTGCACAGCCTTCAAAACCATAAGCAATTTACAATGCATGGACTCACACATTCACATCCCTCACTTCTTTCTGTCACAAAAAAATTGCTGGTGCATTGCAGGTGTAGAGGGAGAGAGTGAGGGAGAAATGTGCTCTCCAACCCAAAGCAACTTTTCTAACATTGGGTAATTATGTGTGAAAGAAAGAAAGAAAAGAAACATCAGCAGGAATATGGACCGTAAAGAAAAGGAAAGCAGACAGAGGAGAAAACATTTTATCTTCCTTTCATCTTTCTGCTGAAAAATGCTCTTTAAAAATCAGAATTGCTATAAGATTTTTCTGACTCGATCCATCACAAATCTTTATTTTTTTTCCATAAAACATCAAAAATCTGGGCCAGCGTAGAATAGATGTTAAAGAAAAACATGACTCAGCAAAAAAAATAAAAATAAGTGGGACACACATCCATTCAGTGTCTAAAATGTGAATGAATTTAAGTGTATTTTAAACTGATCAAAAACACAACCACCTAATATCCATAACAACCATGTTTAAAGAGAGCTTTCATTTTTACTTTTTAGCACAGCGTCATCTAGTGGTCATGATTTGGATTTGCAGTATGAACACAAACACTTCATGGAGAACTCACCTTAAAACAAAAACTAAAATAAATTTAAAAAAATCTTCAGTGGTTGAACTTATCTGCATTGTGTCTCAAATAAAACAATAACAATAAAGAGTTAGTGAGACAGGACATGAAGATAACGTGAAGTATGTGTGTTTATCTTACCAACCTGTTGATTTTTGATATATGATTTTTTTTTTATTAAATAAAAAAGTTTGAAAAGTTTGAAAATGTTTTGGTTTTCTTCTCTCTCTCTCTGTTTAAGTATAAAAGAAAAAAAACACTTGGATTTTTCTTTAAACAACTTAGAAAAAATATGGGGGAAAAGCCAGTTTGTCTGTTTTAGAGAAACTGAATTTCTTACATCTGAAACTAGTCCAATCATCTCATTAATGTGTTTTTTATTAATTGAAAAACACAAAACACCTTTCACAAAATGAAATAATAAAATAATACATGTCTCTGCAGGCTGTTTAGCAGATTTCTTAAAGACGTGTTTGACCATTTAAAAATCCAGTGTCAAACAATGACACTGTATTTTAAACATGAGCATGAACATTTGAAGCTTTGCAAATTAAATTTTCTACAAAACTTGAAAGCAATGCTTTTGTAGAGGTCAGGGGTCAAATTGTGAGTCCTTCTATCCACACTGACAACCATCCACTCTTACTGTTTTGCAGTGATTCAAAACTGGATTTTTCAGTTCACACAATTTAACATCCATTTGTAAAGTTACACAGAAAAAAAACTCTTTAACTCACAAAAAAATGGCAGAGGTAATACAAAAAGACAGCTGTAACTCAAGCATTTTATTAAGTTTCTTTTTATGGTCGCTCGGCTGAAAAGAGTTGTGCAGGGCAGCTTATTACTGAAAGAAACATAAAAAAATACACAGTAATGGATTTCTGCCAAAGAGTGGCAAATGTATAGACTCATACAAAAACAGGAAGAAGAGTTAAGAACTGAGGCAGAATGAACAAGTCCTCTCTGCTCTGAAGACTTACGCTTGAACCCTGACCTCTGCCTGTTTCACAGGTTGTCAACAACCAAAACTTCAAATGTAACAAGAGAAAAAAGCCTGGATTGGTTCACATGTTGAAAAACACTGTAAGGTGATTTCTTTTTGTTTTATGTTTATGATAGAAGAAAAACCCATGCAACTGTTTAAATAAATGTGACATCTAGCATGCAAAGACAATCTATTTCAAAAGCAAACGATTTGAATGATGAGCCAAATGTAAAGCCTTTGTATAGCACCCACAAAAAGACAACTTCAAGAACAACTTCTGAAGCTTTTGGAATTGACCTGCTGCAATGAATTTCTGTCTCCATTTTTCTTGTTTTTGTTACAAGGGAGTTGGTATTTTGCCTTTTTTTCAGTCTCCTCATGGTTCACCATTTTTGTTTGATCTTGTCAATTTCATTGCCATTTCTGGTTTTCTTCACATCAGTAGTTCCCCAATCCCACAGTTGAGACAGTCCAGTGTGATTGTGCAAGGAGAGAGGAGAGTGTATCAAAACTCTGTGAACAGTGGCATCTTCTCTTTTCTTCAGCACTTTTTGTCCTTAAGCTGCCTTATTTGAACACTATCTGGATCATTCTCAAAGTCTCCAAATGCATCTTTCTCCCCATTCTCCTTAGAAAATAATATTATTAATAATTAAAATACTAATGCTCTTCTTTGTTCTGTCTCCCTAAAAATACAAACGTCCTGACAAAAACAGGATTGACCTTTTCTCTTCTCCTTCGCTCTCCTCACTCACTCCACATAAGTTATTTTTACGTGCCTCAATTCTTTCGGTAACGATTCTTTGGCTTCTCACCACACCCGGTTGCCTCGCAGGATGACAGGCCAGGCTGTTTGCCAGAGTTGATGCTGCTCAGAAGAGCCGGCAGTTCATTGGTGATTGCCTTCTCGATCTTTTCCAACAGGCAGCCTCCGATGTAAGAGCACTGGGCTGACAGTGGCTTGAAGTTGGTGATTGGGTTGATGCCGAAGAAGTCGCGGTAAGCATCTCGGTTAGGTAGGTCAAACTTGCTGACGTTGGTCTTGGCCAGGATAGATTTAAAGATATAGAACTTGTCAGGGTCGTCCACAATCTCCTGAAAGACGAGCTCAGGGTCACTGAAGAAGCTCATCTTTTCTTTAAAGGTCTGGACATAGCGGTCCACCAGCAGGGCATGAATGCGTACACGGATGGCATGTTGGCGGATGAAGGCAATCTTGTTCTCCATTCGATTCTCAATCACCTGATTGAGGTCTTCCAGGAGGGAGATTTCTTCACGCTTGAAGAGTTCACGGCTGGTGTCAGGTGCATAATCGTATGGCCAGAAGGAGCTGACGTAGACTCGGGGAGGTTCAGTTACATTGATAAGAGGGGCTAAGCTCCAAAACAGGGCTCCATAGACTCTCATTAAGTCCTGGGTAGCCAAGTTGTCAGCCTTGTTCAGGATGATGCGGATCTGCGACTCGCGGCCTTTTAACTGGCGGAAAAGCATCTCCAGTTCTAGGCCGACGTCGAGCTTGGTGGGGTCAAAAACCACAAAGATCAGATCTGCACGGTCTATGAACCACTGGCAAACATCATTGAAAGGGTAACCTGGATAGAAACAAAACACAGAGTTACCAAAACGTACTAAGTTGTACTTTCTGAAAGTGTGGAACAGACATCCAACCCTTCTCCTTCACCTCTCTCCTGCTGCTTTCGGTTCTCAATAATTCCTGGAGTGTCCACAAACGTCACACGCTCCAGCAGTTTGTGAGGCATCTCAATACCAATCAGCTTTTCCAGGAAGTTTTGGCCAAACTTTTCCAGAGGAGAGAAGGAGCGAGAGCTGTCTGCTGCCATAACAATACCCTCAATGGAGCGTATTTTTTCCCCGTGCGTGATAACCGTAAACTCAGAGGTAGTGGGCTCAGCCCCTGCAGAATGAAGACACAGAGAAAAAACAAAGGAGACATTAGCAAGAACATTTTAAAAAGGGGATAAAGATGTAAACGTGCAAAGAAAATGTGAAATAAATTTCACAAGCGCCTTGGATTGAATAAGATTTTGAAAACATTGGTGTTTTTTGCCCTCTTACTTCATTAATCATATTAAAATTCTTGCAAATACGCACTGACCTGTGTTAATATAATCTTCTGATAAAGAACCATACATTTCTAATGATTATTTAAGATTCAGTTCAGGATTATGTAATCCTGACTGAGCAGATATGACAGCACCTGCTGCGCAAAGGAAAGGAGGAGGAGAGAGCTTATTTCTAGTAGAAGAGCGGGTTGGAAGTTGATTATTTTATGTTATTTTATTGTTTTTTTAATGTCCTACAGGCTTTGACGTTAAATAAATTTGAAACTCAGTTTTTGAAATAATGTGGAAAACTTGAAAAAATGAGTGAGATTTGTCCGTACACCTGCAAAATGAGGAAAAATCCATGTAAATTATGGACAATCTGTACAACTTGACATGTAGGATGGTTGAATAATATATACCTGTGTAGAGCTGATATGGGCTGTCACTTAAGCCCAGGAGGTAATTGATCATGGAGGACTTTCCAACACTCCAGGGTCCAAGGAACAGCACCATGGGCTTGGAAGTAATCTCACCATCTGTGGAGAGAAGTGACACAGGAGACTGACATTTCAGGAGGGCTAAACATAAATAGCAACATGTAACCACCTTTTTTCCAGATATAAATAGCAATGCACAACTTCATAAACTTATGCTATATGTAACCCCGTTTTCCCAGTTAAACTATCCGTCAGGATGCTGTGGAAAGATTGCCCAACAACATAATGCAATGATAAGCTCTTAATGTAAAGAAAATCTTCTTGATTAAACATATATATGCTAATTTTTAATTGCTGTTTTTATGCCCAAAGAAAGATATGTAGGAGTTCACAACTTGCAGTCTAACAAATCTGCAGTTAAAATTATTTTTGAAAAAAAATGTAAGTGTTGCTTCTTTAAAACCAAGGGACCAAAGTTAAAATCAATGTAGGATTTTAAAATGATTGGGAAAACCCTGCAAATAGTTTTGACATGTACAAGCTTAAATGATTTGTTAAATATAATATTCACTTTATGGTGATATTTTTCACAGCATCCCAACTTTTTTCTAAATGTGCTTTTACATAAAATGTAATGTGGACACCGGACAGAAAATCTAAACAGCTTCGTAAATTCCAGACTAAACAAGGGCCAAGTTTTAAACATCTTGACAGGAAATTATCATTTAAAGAAGCAAGAGAATTAAACTGTACGAAATGAAAATTTAAAAGTAATATTTTTGAGGTGGCAGCAGCAGAAAATTCAAAAACATGCAGTCATATTTAACAAAATGGCTGATGGGTTACTTCATGAATACAGTTTAAAATAATAAAATCAAAGCAAGCTGCATGTCTCCAAACAAGCCATCGTGTGTATAGTGGATGTGGTTTAGGGGTGTTAGTTCATCATGGTTTGTACAAGTACATAGTTTGATTACGAAAAAAAAACTACAATGAAAACTTAAAAAACATTTGAAAGATAAAAAGCTCCTCTTCTGATGCTAATATATTTTAAAACTTAAAAACTAAAAAAATTTAAATGAAGGAGGATAGGTCAGATTGTCTGAAGTGGGTTCTGACTGGACTGACGAGCTAATGGCTAGTCAGAGAGAGGCCAAAACTGCTACCTTCTTAAAACAAGTCCAGTGTCATAAATTTCATGGTGGTTCTTGCTAATATTTTTCTTTTCACTGCCATCACTTTTGCATTTCAAGGCCAAGTAAAAAATATTATGACATTCTTGCTCCAAGTGTTTCACACTGCATAAAAAAATGCTCAAGCTAATTGCTGCTTTTTGTGCATTCAAATAACCACACTAGTCAATGCAAACTTAAATTTGGAGTAAACGTTTCTGAAATAACATTTGCACAAACTACAGGATCAGGATTGACAAAATAAATCCACTTTGGTTTTGACTCTGGACCAGTGACAATAGGGAATCTGATCAGAATTAAACTCTTTCCATAGTTTAAAGAGCTATCTACAACAGGTAAGATATTATTTGTTTATAACCTTTCCCCGAAACTGAAACTGAATTCCTCCACCACCCTGCAAACAACTAAAGCCAAAGCTGGACATGCAACCCCCTCTATTGTTTAAACATTCAAATTACACAAAATACCAATTAGTCTTTTTGTTAATGATATGCATAAACTGCTGCCTAAGAACATGAACAAGCTCATGTTGGCCATGTGAAATATTTCATTTATTGTCCTCCCCTTTTGTTTCATTTATAGATTTTGTTTTAGCATTGCAGCTTTCTGTGGACTGAAGCTTTCACTCATGGATCACTCTCATGACATTTCACTGCACTTTATCCGGTGTCACTTAAAGTGAAGCATGTTTGAAATATTTCGATCAACAGAGAGCAAATTTATCAGGAGAAAAAAAAATGACGGTGGAGAAGAGGGGGCTTAGCACTTCAGGCAGTGCCATGCACAGGTAAGCCCCTGCCTGCACCCACCTGTGGCTGAGTCCCCCAGGGTTCGTCCGGGGTATGCTGTTAGATGAGGGAAGGAAGGGGGTGGGGGGTGGGGGGGGATGAGGGGAGGACAGGAGAGGGTGGAGTACACAGAGGTGAAGGAGAACTCAGTGAGGGAGTAAGGTTTCAATGAGAAGGGGTAGAGTTTCGATGAATGAGTGGGAGATCGTGGCTGGATTTCATGGGAACATGTTTGACCTACAACTTGTCAAGCATGTTTTTCAACAAATGGATGGTGCAAAAAAGTGGACAGGTAATGCTATAAATTTACTCTCTTGTAAAAAAAAAAGGTAAATGTTCATTTAGAGACAGGATAGTAAAACATTTATCTGCATGCAAAACCACAAGAAGGTGAGATTATGATTATGGGCAATTTGGAGTGTTCAATCTAAATGAACTAAAATAGAAATACACAAAGCAAAACAAAAACTTCGAATAAGAAAAAGAGGGAAAATAGATGAAATTCATAATCTGAATTATGATGATGAAGGATGAATTAATGTTTGATTATTTTAGTACACTTTAATTGAACCTGATTAGAAACTCCAATAATTAATAAGGAACAAGATTTCACAGCATGAAGCTGTTCATTGACATTACAACGTTTATGCATATTTAAAGAAGTTTTTTTTTAAAAAAAAAATCAGGCAAAATCAAATAGAAGCACACAACAGAAGCAAACTGCAGATATGAGTGAAGTTTCTGATACCTGAGATCTCATGCTGCCTCAGCTCATTGTACCTATAAGCCTGTTCCATGGGCTTGATGGACGTGTGGTAGATCTTCCGCAACTTCTGTATGGCCGCTGGAAAACAGAGAAGAGAAAGGACAGGAAAGAGTAAGACGAAAATCATTATTGCAAATTTAATTTGATCTGTTGTACCAACGTTTCACTCTTTTTCTCTTCAAAGTATTCATACCCCTTGAACTTTTCCATATTTTGTCACATTACAACCACAAACATAAATATATTTCACTGGAATTTAATGTGAAAGACCAACACAAAGTGGTATACAATTGTGAAGTGGAAGCAAAATTTTACATGAATCAAAACATTTTTTACAAATAAAAAACTGAAAAGTGCGACGTGCAAAAGTATTCAGTCCCCTTTTCCCTGAGTGCAACCAGTTGTATTCAGAAGTTGCCTGATGACTGCTAATGACTCAAAAGGGTCCACCTGTGTGTAATCTAATCTCAGTACAAATACAGCTGCTCCGTGACGGCCTCAGATGTTGGTTAAGAGAATATTGGGGAGCAAACAGCATCATGAAGTCCAAAGAACACACCAGACAGGTTAGGAATATGGTTTTGGAGAAGTTTAAAGCAGGCTTAGGTTATAAAAAGATTTCCCAAGCTTTGAACATCTCACGGAGCACTGTTCAATCCATCATCCGGAAATGGAAAGAGTATGGCACCACAGTAAACCTGCCAAGACAAGGCCGTCCACCTAAACTTACAGGCCGAACAAGGAGATCACTGATCAGAGAGGCAGCCAAGAGGCCCATGGTGACTCTGGATGAAATGCAGAGAGCCACAGCTCAGGTGGGGGAAACTGTCCACAGGACAACAATTAGTCGTGCACTACACAAATGTGGTCTTTATGGAAGAGTGGCAAGGAGAAAGCCATTGTTAAAAGAAAACCATAAGAAGTCCCGTTTGCAGTTTGCCAGAAGCCATGTTGAGGACACAGCAAACATGTGGAAGAAGGTGCTTTGGTCAGACAAGACCAAAATTGAACTTTTTGGCCACAATGCAAAACGCTATGTGTGGCGGAGAAAGAACACTGCACATCACTCTGAAAACACCATCCCCACTGTCAAATATGGTGGTGGCAGCATCATGCTCTGGGGGTGCTTCTCTTCAGCAGGGACCGGGAAGTTGGTCAAAGTTGATGGGAAGATGGATGGAGCCAAATACAGGGCAATCTTGGAAGAAAACCTGTTGGAGTCAGCAAAAGATTTGAGACTGGGGCGGAGGTTCACCTTCCAGCAGGACAACGACCCTAAACATAAAGCCAAAGCTACAATGGAGTGGTTTAAAAAAAAGAATATTCATGTGTTAGAATGGCCCAGTCAAAGTCCAGACCTAAACCCAATTGAGAATTTGTGGCAAGATCTCAAAACTGCTGTTCACAAACGCTCTCCATCCAATCTGACTGAGCTTGAGCTGTTTTGCAAGGAGGAATGGGCAAGAATTGCAGTCACTAGATGTGCAAAGCTGGTGGAGACATACCCTAAAAGACTTGCAGCTGTAATTGCAGCAAAAGGTGGCTCCACAAAGTATTGACTCAGGGGGGCTGAATAATTTTGCACATCGCACTTTTCAGTTTTTTATTTGTAAAAAATGTTTTGATTCATGTAAAATTTTGCTTCCACTTCACAATTGTATACCACTTTGTGTTGGTCTTTCACATTAAATTCCAGTGAAATATATTTATGTTTGTGGTTGTAATGTGACAAAATAATATTAAGGGAAAAGTATAGGGGTTCACATTTTTGGCATATTACAGACAAAAAGTTAAGACAGTCAACAATAATTTAGTCCTTTTTTCTCCTCACCTGCAAAATCTGCTGCTTTTTCCTCTGATGCAAGCCGCAGAGTTTCATCGATGTGAGATCTGTCTCTCAGGGTGGAACTGAACTCTTCCTCCTCTGAAATAAAATTCAAAAGAAGAGTCAACAAGCTAACTTGGTTCCACGCCTCGGGGTGTTTTTCTTTAATGCTCGCGCACTTTTTTTTTTTTTTTTTACCAATGTAACTACAGCAAGGTGCTTAAATGTTTTCCTCAAACATAAATATAAATTGTCATATTCAGTTTTTATATAACAGTCGGTGGGAAAGGAGGCAGAGAATCTGAGAGATCTTATTTGCTTCACTTGTCATCTCCTCCTCTGAACCATCAAATTACATTGATCACAGCTGTCAGTACAATCAATTCTTAATTTAGAAAGCAAATGCTGAAAATAAACAGACAAAGACATGGCATCTCCATAGGCTTCAAAATGTGCAACAAAGAGACTGAAACAGACAGGGACTTCCCCAGTTTTCTAAAGAGGCTGGAGTCAAATGGAGCGTTCCCTTCAGTAATAGAAACAATGATGTGCAATCCTCTATCTTATCAGCTATATTTACCCACCAATCACAGACTATTTTTGAGCAGTGAGGCCTGTCCTTTTGTGTCCAGAATGAGCTTTGTGTCACACCTCCCACACAGCCCTGCAAACAAAACTGCTACAGCTTTTACACACGGGAGCTTTAAGGAAGTCTTGTTCACTCCGTTTCTGCGGCCTGTTGTGGAAAAATTGTGAAAGCGAAAAAAAAAACCCTGTTCTGGTTCTGGGAGAAAGTTGTGATCTTCAGAGGGGAGTGGCAAGAAAATGATGGACTCTCAAATAAAATGTTCAGACTGAATCTTTTCTGAAATAAAATATTCCTACAGTCTGGGATACATCCTTATCTTAAGTCAACATGTTCCAGCTTTCAAGCAAACGATTCTGCTACTGTTTGTTTGAAATACAGGCAGATTTTAAGAAATGCTTGATTTGTATATTCTTTGAAATACAACTCTGATCTCCATAACCAAAGGTTCCATCACAACAAAACAGAGTCACACAAAAGATGACTGCTATACCTAATAAACACACACCATTGTTGTGGTATCCTAACATCACAAACTGGAGTAAAGCTATTGACCATGTAGGCAAAGATTTCTAGTATTTCTTGCCTCGAGTCAGAATGACTTAACGCTTTGGCCAAAACCAACGATACATCAAATGACGTATGAAAATATTATATTATGTTTGTTTACAAGCAGGAAGAAAGCTTCAGAGGGTGTTCAAATCCAATGAAATGATCTGCTGCACTCATTTACAAAAATAATAATGAGAAATCCATTTCCAAATATAGTTTCCTTTAGCAAAAAGTAGTAAACGCAGGTACTTTAAGTATACTAATTCTAAAATGAAAAATAAAAAATAAAAAAGAGTGTATTTCCATTTGACTTTTATGTACTTATCTGACTTAACCAAGTTTATCTTACACTATACTTTTCTTGTACTAAAAGTATTTTAAAGTTTAAGTATATTTACTCTATACAAATGTTTTAACTTTTGGCCAAGATAAACTTCACTGGTGCACTGAAAGTACATTTTCACACAGGCTGTTTGTTTGTAGTATATTTCAAGATTTAACTAAAAAATATACTTAAAAGATTACTTTCCGTATACTTCTGAGCATACTTTCATAAACTTATTGTGGGCCAACTCAATTCTAGAAGTATACTTGCCAGTAAACTGCTAGTATACTTATATTAGTGTACATGGCAAAAAAAGTACACTTGGGGAAATACACTTTTATATACTTTAGTATACTTAATGACATGTACTTAAAGTATACTTTTTTGGTATAAACTTAAAAAGACATGATAATACACTTAAAAGTATACTTTTTATAAACTTAAGTCCCAGTTTAATACAGACAAGTTTTAAATTAGTAAACTTTCAAGTACACTACAAGTACATGGTGCCTAGTATACTTGATATACCGGTACTTAAACTTAAACTCAAGTATACTTATTAAAATGAACTTCAAGTATACTACTTTTTCTAAGAGTTGCTTGGCATTTAAACAATCAGGTATTTGATTCGGACCATAGAAATCCAAATTAAACATTTCAGAATTTCAACTATTCTGCTTTACGTAGACTGTGTTTACAGCATGAGATATACAAAAAAAATTGAATGGAAATCACAATGATGGTGAGTCCACTCAGAGTCTGAAGAGGCTTTTGGCAGAGCTCATCTTTTCCACGCTTCATTAACTTATCACTGAAGCACTCGAAGCTAACTGAAGCGGCTACAACTTGCCTCACCTCTCACAAGAGTCACGTCTTTTAACACTTGCTTCTCGAGTGTGTCTAACCGCTGTGAAGTTGTTAACACCTTCCCAAAGTGGCCAGTCCCGGGAGGCTCTGCACCAGAGCTCCACAAGGATCAGAGAGGTAACGTGGCCACAGGTTGGCGAGTCTGGGATCCCAGCTCCAAATGAACCCTGCAGGAGCCAGGAGAGCTGAACCCTGGATATCTGCAGCCTGAGCCATGTGTCCTCTCTGAGCTCGTTGCCACACAACCCTCTCTCAGTTTGGGAAAACATTCTGATGGCGTCTGCACATTCTGCAGGAATGTTGCCGATTTAAGCCGACCATTGCCTCTCAGAGGCAGAGGTCATGCCTCTAATATAGACGCTCCATTCAGTGGTCAAAAATAATGATAATAATTCTAACAGTTGGTTAGTGAAAACAGAAGTGCACAAGACATAACATGTTTCATTAGAAATATTTCTATTTTAATTTGATTCAAATGGGTGCTACATTCTGATGCATGAATGTTATATTTATTTACACACCATGTCTATTAAATACTGTGAATCTGACTATGTGAAGTCTTGGGATCATGTTCCACTTGCAGGACAGTGAAGGTAAATTTAATTAAGCTGAATACGATTAGAGCAGCAGGCCTGGAACCCCCCACTTAGAGGACTTAACTTGAGCACTTGAGGATTCAGGCAAATTTTAATAAAGGTCAAGAGATTCCACTGGAAAGATCAATGACTCCGTTTTATTCTAGAAGTGAACGTTTTAGTTTAACTTTTCATTTGATAACTAGTAGATTTTAGAAGCTTTGATGTAACAAAGATAGAAAAATTTATGATTAAGAGGTTTATAAATCTAAAAAGTCATTTTACGACTTAACGCACAGTTTCATCAGTGAGGATCAGGCGTGAGAACAGTTAGCTTGAGTTTGCTGTGGTGAAAAGACGTCATGGATGGCAACAGGTGGCCCAGCTTGTGGAGCTGGTGCTCTCTGTGGTCAGAAATAGTCCCACAATGGTTCAGGAGTTAGACAGAGGAGGAGGCAGGACGACTGCTGCCTATTTTAAGATTCTGACTGTTTGTCAGTATGAAGACTCAGACATCCGCATCCGACAGAGCTGACATTTTATAATACTTGTTATCGAAGGGAGACGTCCTGCACTGACACAAGCGGGGCAAGTTTTGAATTTCAGTCACTCAAAACACATAAAACACTAAATGATGTTCCTGAAATTTATTGCATCTACCAGGAAATGCAACTTGAATAGAATTTGATTTGGTGCTTCATGAGATTTTCAGACAAAAAGTAGAAAGACAATTTGTTTAATAATGTTTAAAAAAGTCATCAGTAACTCAAACTTGTTTGATCCACATCCATGTCTGTTCTTTGCCCTCTAAGAGTTCACCAAGAAGCAAAACAGATTTTAAAAAAGTCATGAGGGCAAAGGGACTTTATGCTGAGGTGTTGATCTGATGCTTATAGCCCGGTCCAAAGAACATCAGGTGCCCTTGAGGTGCAGTCTTAAAGAGGAATAACACCATTTAGCACAGCTCATGTGTTTCCTCTTCTACAGCAAAGGGATGTCCCAGACATGCACGTCCTTACAGGAAATCACATACAGTTCTTTGGACACTGTAGCATTACATGAAAAATGTAAAAAGTTAAGGAAAAACAAAAAACAAAAATAAAAACAAAAATCTGACTTTAAAGTGGGGGAATATAATACAACGCTGTAAGGTTTTATGTGTTGCTCCCCCTCCCACAAACTGATAATTTATATAAACAATTTTGATATATTTCACTGCATTGACAGATTTCTAAGATAAATAGTAAAATCTAATGAAATTAGATTCCTTTGTAAAGTAATGAACAATTAGTAATTTAGTTGTTGAAGATGTTTCTTTGAACAACCTCAGTTTGGAAAAAAAAGTTTAATGAAGTCAAGACAATTTTTTTATGATATTATCTGAATTTTAATATTAGCAAGAGCAAATATCTGTACATCTGGTGCTGCTTAGGAAACTTAGAGGACGAATATTCCTTTTTTTTTACAGGCAGAATAAATCCCAACACTTTTATTATAACAAAAAGTATTTATTAAATAGAATTTGCATGAATCTCTGTGACCTTTTTTTAAAACTGGACTCGCTTTAATACAGCAGAAATCCAAAAAAATCTCCCCGCAAAAAGGTTTCTACCAAGTCAGATAGGCTGTCTAATAAAAATATACCAAATTCAGGAAACTTAAAAGTTTGTAGACAACAAAATACATGAGGCCACTTATGTTCAAGCAAAACATTAAATGAAGATGAATATGTCAACAAAACTAATGTTTTAGATTATGCTACAAAATGTTATAGAATAAAATTTCATATCAAAATTACAATGTCAACAGCAAAAGACCTTCTTACAATATTTTCTACTGCTTTAAAGGTGTTTAACAATCTTTGCTGAAGCAATAAATCAATTTCTTTTTGATTTAGAAGGAGATTTCTGCTTCAAATCCTAATTAGATAATCAAAGTTCCTAACAATATTTAAACCTGCACAAGTATTTACACGAGGGACTCCATGATTCCCATGTATCAAATTTAGAGACTGAGGCACCCAAAACACACCTGCACAGGCATGCAGAGGGGCTCTGTGAAAAACGTGAGCTGCAGTCACAGCCCAGCCCCTCCTGCCTGGAGAACGCATGACCCTAAAAGGCCAACTGCTGGGAATAAATTGCAATTGTGACAGTGCAGAGTGACAGCAGCTGTGCAGCGTATCCAAAGCAAAGCACGATGTCCAGGGGAGGGGAGGGGAGGGGATGGGAGGAGGGTAAAAGTTTGGTGGGGGCTCAAAGGGAGGGAGGAACTGCAGTGGACAGTGTTGGGTTTCAGGCTTTCCAATCTTAGACACCTGACCGAAGGCTGGAAAACAGAAACTCAGTTACGGATTGTGGATCTGAACGCCACCCCAAGGACAGCCAGGGGTGACACACAAAGGTAACCATAACTGCACAAGTCAAGACTCAGAGATCAGTCCTCAGATTGGACAAGCACTCAGTAATTGTTCAAGAAACTTATCTCAGAGCATGTCATGTGATCATAACAACTGTAATAAAGTTATTTTTATAACATTGTCAACTATCAATACAAACTATGCAGCAAATATTCAACGAGTTCCTCAGTCACTCTGTGTCCCTTCACTCTCCAGCATGGCCTTTCTGTTCTCCTCGATTAGACTAAGACTTTCCATCAGCTGGTGGCCTGTCTTTTGGACAGCTGACATGCTGTCAGGCCACCCCCCACTTCCAAAAACACAAAAATGAGAAATAAGACGAATGTCAAATCCAAAGGTATGGGTTTTTGTTTGGTAAGAAATGATTAAATATATTTAAAAAGAAAATGGTAACAGGTGCCAACTGCAAGCCGAGATGGATTTTGAATAGTCCAGCCTAGAGAGAAAACGTGTCAGCATTTCTATCAATCCTTGGCTGGTTGTTCATGTCAGTGCCACTTCAATTTAATAACTTCCTCAGGATATAAAAAACCCAACAGAACAGCTTAACTTCTCATCATATGATAACTACTTTCTGACACGTTCGTTACGCCAGCCTCTGAAATTACATTTCACCATTTCATTCATCAACAGAATATAAGCTAATTCCATGCCAACAAAACCTTTTTTGTGTGTAATCAGAACTATTATTATTATTACTAAAATGCTTCTGTCTTACCTGCTGTGGCCTGCAAAATCAGCAGGGTGAGGAAACAGCAGATTGAGACTGTACCCTTCATGATGGCTGCCAGGAGGACTCTGATAGTCTCACAAGCTATATATATTGAGGCAGGAAGGTTAAAGTACATGTGAAGGGAAGAGGTGGAGCACAGAGAGAGCCAGCTGGTGGGGGGGGCCGAGGTCCCGGCTTTTGAGGTGTTACAAGTGCGCCACGCAGGCCCTAGAAGCACAAACAACTATTTCTTCTTTTTAGAATAGCTACAGCCCAACAGCAGTGCGTGAACCAGTTTTTTTCTTCAAATGGACTGAGACACAGTATTTCACATTACCAGAATGAAAACGCTCAAATGAAAAGGTGCATTTTTAACTAAATTACAAATAATCAAAGTGAACTGGAGAAATCACCTTCATTCACAAACTTAAAAATCAAAAATGTGCTCCAAGTAGTGCTGAAGTCAGCTGTGAAACACATACTGGTGAGCAGGACCCAATGTTCATTCAGCTGCCTTGTCAGAGAAAGTTATCACCACGAGAAAAAGTGTGAGAATCAGGAATGAGAGCGCTGAGGAGAATTAAAACCCACGTTGTCACGTTCGAATCCCTCACACGAACGCTGGTGGATTACTGCTTTATCACACTCAGGCAGACACAAAGTGGCAGGCATAATCTCAGAGTTCCTCTGGAGTCATTTTAGCTGTGAATTAATCCTAAAATATGGCAGGAGTTTCTTACCCATCCCAAGTGACTTTGGAAGCATGTTCAAATTCAAGTTCCTTAATCCCAAAGAGCTTCTTTGACGGTGGGAAGCTCTGTGTGAGATTATTTGTTCACGAGAATCTGGTTTTGATCGGCTTCTATAAGCTCTAGATGTTTTTTTTTCTGTCAAATGCATATGAAGAACTCACTCTGACAGCTGGGTTTTGTTGTGTTTTGACTGTTAAATCAGTGATCCAACTTAATTGCCAGTGCTTCTGATTCAGTCATCTGTATTTCTGTTACTTGTTCAGCCTGACAGATGGGTTTTTGTTTCTTCCATCTCCACAGTTCTTCAGCTTCCCTGTTTTCCTCGTGTCACACACTTTCAGTTCATCTGTTATCATCGCAGCGTTCATCCACTAATCGGCCTTCCAAGCAGAAAAAAAGTTTTTGATTGTCATTCATGCTAGTTTCTGGTTGGTTTGTCTGAGTTAGATTAGGAATATACATTTTGGCAAATTATATTTGCCTGCCTGAACACTAAGGTTCTCAACACCACCCATGTTATGTAATGGTAATTATGTCCACCATTTCTTTTTGTTTGGCTGGCAAATTAATCATCAAATTAACTCATTATTTTCACTGGATGCATTTTAGTAACGTGTGTGTTGGTAGGTTTCTCTGCTTCTACAGCATTATTTTACTTGGCAGTAAATAAACATCCTTCAAATTTTGTGACATTACTATGATTTTGAAAGTGAAAAAAGAAAGAATAGCCAATTTTGATACAGGATTTAAGCAAATTTACAGTTCAGACCCCATTTCTCATATTTCTTTATTATATTTTTTCCTTCTTTAATGTTTAATCTTAGTTTGTCTGCCATTAAAGTTCACTGTTCAGACATTTAAAGTTGAACTGAGCTTAAAAAGAGCACATCTTTGAATAGATTGATGCATGTCAGAGAATGACAGCAAAAGATGCCATCCGCTGTCCCCTGGCAAACATTTTAATTGACACAAAGAAGGTGGTCCGTCTTAAATTAGCAGTGCGGGAGAGCGGGGGCAACAATGTTTCAGCATCCCGTCCACCAACCAGAAACAGACACCCATCCAACAATTATAAGAGTGGTACCCTATACCAGAAGAAAAAATAAAAATAATACAAATGTTGGTGTTGTAACGCCTGCAATTATATCAGGTAAACTATTGTTTGAATTAGTCATATTCAAATTAGAAAAAAAAATTCACACTGAGGCCAAATGTTTAAAAAACAAAGTACAAACTTTATTATTCTGTCTTTACAAAGGCACAAGCCTCTTTATCCCCAAAACTTTTCTTGAAAAGGAAAAACAATAGCTTCTTGATGACCGTATGCACCGACAGGTCTTTTAAAAAAATGACAGAAGAAAAAACAAGAGGGTAAAAACTGAAACACAAAATGTGTGAAAGATATTGACAATACACGAAGACAGGGTAAAATATGCAATAGAACAGAAAACGGGAGTAAACGGGACAAGATGTCGGACTGACACGAACGGATCGGGATGGGGATACACAGCTGTGCGGTTTTTACTCATAACCTCAGGAGCTTCAGCTGAAGAGATGCTTCTTTGCACACAAGAAAGAAGCAAATTACAGTAAGTGCTTTGTAATCTTCCCCCACATTTAGTTCTCCCAAGGCCCTCCCCGCTAATCTAATAATCTGATATGTCCACATAAAGTTTTGTAACATAGAACACAGAGTGTAAAAAATAACTCTCAAACAAAACAAATGGAAATAACCCAGTTCTGGGATTTAGCAGAAACCTTTCCAACAGATACTGAGAAGAACAAAAGAACGCTCTGCGAAAAGCAGAGTACATTTTCCACATCCAGGAATCCCCTCTCCTATGAAGACACGCGTCCCGTGATTCAATTTGACTCATTTCAGTGCAGCTGACATCAACAGGCTTAAAGGGTAATTCCATGACATACAACATGAGGAGTGTTCCGTTAAACAAACGATCTGTCCAGCACCTCAAAGCTCCGTCTGTGCACTGAAGCAGGGAGGATGAGTACGCTACCAACTGCTGTGATGTGTCAAAAGACCTAAAAGTTACCAGTTTGAATCGCAAAACTTTATTGAAAATTTATGGAATGTCTTACCGTGGATGTTTTTCCACATAATCTTGTCTTTCAAACCAGAAATCAGTATTTAGACATACTTTGAACCCTTTAGCCAAACAATTCTCAAGATCCCTTGAATATCATTTGCATACCAACGACCTGTTTACTTTTGAGGCAAATATAATCAAAAATTGCAAACAGATAGATTATAATAACTAGGGATATAAATGCTATAACACACACTGGATTTTTCCAAGCCTGATTGGAAAGATGAAGGAAAAACCAGTGGCCGCCAACTGACCTGGTTAAAAGTATTCAGGTATTTCTCTAAGACCCCCGGGCTTTGTTAAGGCTGGTCTCCCTGCAGCTGTGGGACTATTAATAAGGCAAGCTGCAACCCCTCTCACTCTGCTACAACTCAATCGGTCTGTCAACCTAGACTTCCAGGCTAAAAAAAGCACATTTTATGTTAAAACGTAAGCAAAATTATGTAAGTAGCATGGTACAGTCAAATGAAAATGCACAAAATGACAGGTGATCTACGTTAGGAAATGCATAGAGCATGTGTGGACTATCCAGTTGCCCACATGAGACACACTCTGACAGTCTGCAAGGCATTTACCTCCTGTTTTCAGTGTTTTTTCCCGCTTTGATGAATATCCCAAAATTACAATGACAGAGGGTGGAAACCAAAAAAAAAAAAGGTTATTAAGAAGGAACAAACAAGTGATTGTATGTCGTATTTGAGAGTTTTTCATTTCAAGGCAAACGTGGTGCTGTTGGAGACTGCCAGAGTCCAGGGCACCACTACGCCCTGCACCTTCGAAACACTACGATACAACATACACACACACACTTGTCGATTTTCCTCAATACAATTCACAAATTAGCTTATTTACCAGGCCAGGTGCTATTAGAACCAAAAAATAAGGATTTTAAAACTGTCAATGCAATTTTTTTTTTTTTTGTCAGTCAATGAGTAAAATGAAGATCAGGCCAGATACACATGTGGGATTACTGGGAACCCAGCCCAGCAAAAACAAAAGCCAACTAACAGAAAATAGAGTCGTGAGCCCGAAAGTGCACTCTCTCTTATGAGCACCATTTAGCTGTAAAAAACAGCTTTAAGTTTCTTTTTTTTTCTCTCCTTCTTTACTTTTTGGCAGAGCCTTTAAAAACATGAAAAACAAAGACTTGACAACAGTAAAATATGTTCTTTCAACACTAAGCATTTAAAGGTGGAACTTCAGGACAGTCTTGCACGCTCACAGTGTCTTTCCAAACAGCTGAGATGGGTCTCAAGTGAAGGTGTTCAAAAAGTACGTCCATCTTCATAAATATACACAAATGCTGAATGGTGCCGCCACACTGCTGGGCTCTTCATCGACTTGTTCTTTTCATCAGTCACATGCTTTCAGGACTGCAGAAATATAACAGTTCTGGTAGCTAATGGAGATGTTTTAGTGGGGTTTCTAGTATCCAGTTTGACAGAGTATTTATAAAAACATCAGTCAGAAAAGTGGTAGCTCTAAGAACCTTTCTATAGATTCATAAAAAGAAATGAGTTGAGTGAGTGACTAAATGAGCAGGAACTAACAATAACTTCCTATCACTGTTAATCTTGGTGCGTTTTGCAAGTAGAAGAGAATGAAGGGAGGAAAAGAAAAAAAAAGTTAAAAAGAGAGCTTCAAATCAGACTACCAGCCCTGTCCACAGAACAAAAGTGCTGTGACTTTGTAGCCTCTTGTAGCGCTGGTCTGCTTGGGCCTGTTGTGTGTATGTGTGTGTGTGTGCAAGTGTGAGATACGCGGGATGTTAAGGGATGAACTCAAGGCAGCGAACAGTCATCGGGCCCGTCGCTGTTTGAGGCTGTGTCTGAGCCCGCCGCGTCAGAGAGGCCGCGTCCCGAGGTGACGATGACCGCTCTCCGCTGCTCCTCCTCGAAGCCCTTCCCCTGGGTGCCCTCGATGTGCTGGATTGCCTGGAAGAACAAGGAGGTCAAGTGATATATCAGCGGCAAAAGCACCCTCTAGTGTTCAAATTGAAGAGGTTTTAAAAACACTCCCCGGCAACAGTTTTCTTTCCAATAAAAGAAAAATAAAATTAAGCGTGACTTACTTGAACGATGGTGTCCAGATTCTGTCGAGATGTGGACACAGAGTTGATAACCGATGTCGGGCCCATGGCTACCACAGTGACGTGATGTGGCTGAGCAGTCTGAGCAGGTGCAGGAACGATGACTGTAGCATGATGTGTAGGTGCAGGTGGAGTAGCAGGAGCCAACACCTGGTGTAAAAAAATAATAAAACAGAAGGCACTCATTCCACTTTATTTTAATGTCCCCATTTCATTTGACTGACAAATGACCTTAATGTAAAGAATCCACTCCAAACGTACACAAACACAACACAATATAGCATGTTCTGAGACAAAAGCTGTATTCTACTGAACAGGTCAGATGGTAGAACTTCAAGATGACTCGACAAGCCAATGTCAATTTAGCTTTCGAGAAATACGAGCTTCCAGTAAGCCGTTTTTCAAAGTCGTGTTCAACTTGCACTTCGATTCCTAATTAAAATCAGTTTCTACAATAAGACTGATCACCCTAAAGAGGACTTTAAATCTCATTGCTTATCCAAGAACAAGCAGCCCAACAACTACATCTCAGACTAAAAAGGTACCGTAACAAAACCTTAAGGATTTTGATCACTGACAACATTCCCGGTGAGGATTTAATTTCTTTTTATGGAAACAAAGTTGCACATTTTCATGAGATCATTCAACTTTTACATATGTCATTATTTTACAAAAGCAAAGCTTTTTTTCTCAAGACACTGGTTTATCAGGTCAAGTCACTTTTCCTGAAATAACTAACCTTTTTAAGATAAGATAAGATAAGATAAGATAAGATAAGATAAGATAAGATAAGATAAGATAAGATAAGACAAGACAAGATAAAACTTCATTGATGCCACAGTGGGGAAATTTGCACATTACTGCAGCTCAGTACTGGACAGGTTGAGAAGAATAAAGAAAGATAAATAAAATAAATTAATTACCCAATTAATAAAGAAAGTCTATCACTTCATCAGAAATCAGAATACTTATCTGATATCGTCACATCAGAGAACATCTAGATCAACTCATCATTAAGTCATCTCCAAATGTCATGACATTGATTCTGATCGATGAAACTACAGGCAAAAGAAATTATTTTTACAAAGTGTAATATGGTCAGTGTGATGTGGATGGGCATATATCATAAGATTACTGATTGGCATCGCCTTCAGCTGGGGTGAGCGCTCAGAAATGGGACACTCTGGCTTTCATGGCAGGGCACAGAGACGTGTGAGCGGTTCATTTAACACACTGTAAAACTGTCAGAGTTGTTGACAACTCTAACTGTGGGCATGGAGGGGACTGTCATCTGCACCCACGTCTCAGTAAAAACTAAAGATCAGTCCAGTTGTGCTTTTATATATCATGAACATGAAATGGTTTGACATGAACGACTCAAACCCTACACTGATTGCTCATACAGAAGGAGGGAGGGATGTTTGGTGATGGCATGCTACTGTTTATCTAAACCAGAGCGAGATGTAAAGGAACCTGAGGGCTGTGGGCTGGAGTGAAGTCCCTCTCCAGCTGTTTCTGCTGCTGCAAACGAACAAGGCTTTGTGTTTGGGCCTGCTGCTCCTGGAACTGCTGGGCAATGGCCTTTAGTTTCTCTGGGTACAACTGAGAATCCAGGGAACGCATCTGGCACAAAATCGAGACACAACGTGTGTCAGTGGCCATAACGTCTTCAAACATCTAAAACCGTGTACCCCTGTGTGTGCGTTGTCTCCCCCTGCTGTGTCTGCGTTTTCCTTGTTGTTCATTACCTGGTCCTCCAGTATCATCCTCACTGAGCGTTCCTTTTCCAGCTGCTGCCTCAACTCGATCATCTCCCTCCGCAAGTCCTCGGTCTTCTCCTCTTCCAGAATGTCTGGTGAGCCGATGCCTTCGTCTTTCTCCTCTGCACGCCTCCTCTTTGGGGAGGAACCACTCAACTCCTGGGGAAAGCAATCAGAAAAGCGATGCGCGGTTTTTAAAACTACTAAAACTGAATATAGACAGCTGATGGCAGCTCATGCAGTACCTGTATGATTCGTTTGAGCTGACTGTTCTGCTGCAGTAGCCGCGTTTTTTCCTGCTCCAAAGTAAAAATGTACTCTGCCGTCTGCTGCAGGATGGCAGCCTGGAGGGCAAAGTTACAGTTCAGACCTTCACGCACAGCTACAGTCAACTCGTTGCTTGTTTGAAAGCGGTGTTCGTGACCCACCTTGCTGAGCTTTTCTCCATCGCTGTGTGGGATGAGTGTTTTAAGTGACTGGAAGCCAGCATTGATGCTCTGCATACGCCGACGCTCGTTGCTGTTGGCGATCTCTCTGCGTATGCGCCTCTCTTGGTCGCGGGCTGTTTCTGGGGTCAGAGGAATGTTGGCCAGGCTGAGGGGGGTAAAAAGGAGAGTAGGGGGACAAAGCCATCAGCTGACTACAAATTACTCACGAAAAGCTATAAATAAACCAAAAAAGTTTCACGTGAGCGCAAAAGACTTGACTGAACCTGCCCAAAAAAAATACACAACAGACTTCTTAAAGCTACTTCACAATAGACTTAATTCTTGAAAGAGAATTACGTTGTTTGACGGTACACATCTGAAGAGTCGGAACACATAATAAAACATATTAACATTGACTCCAGCTTACATCTCCACGTATTTCATTGGGGTTAGCAAACATTTTCATTACAATCAGACACAAAATAAAAAACATCCTAACCCAGATGCTGATTTCCAGCTGAGGGTAATTTTTTATCCTTCAACAACCTCTGTATCAACACAAGTATCTCTGGGACTTTTTCTCCCACCAAGCTCTTATCGGTACTGACTCAGCTGCTCCACTGCAAACACTGAGAACAATTGCACAGACCCAAATCAGAAAACCTGTGTGTATGTGCGAGCACGAGTGTTAAGTGTGTAAAGATATACACAAAAGCATCACTGCAGCAGCATATCCAACAAACACATCCACTGCCAAAACAACTGGGCCTGAACTTCACAAACATCAACCAAAACAGAGGAAGAGCCTGCCTACGGTGCTTCTGCTTTGTTCCAGCCTAACAGGCTCTTCCTCTGTTAGGCTGGAATAAAGCAGAAGTGTGGTATCAGGTAACTTAAACTGAAACGATTGGATGATTGTTTTACTCACACCAAAATGAAACATTATGCGACAAGTAAAAATGGATTAAAACTCTCCTTACTATATGTGGGAGGAAAGAAATACATTTGAAAGTTTGCTTTTCAAATGCAAGAAATAGTAAATGTAACAGTGTAGAGCATTTATTACTTTTGGACATCAAATAACAACACAGCAGATTAGTCAGTTATAAAAATAAGTGTTAGATGTGGGTTCATAAAAAATAAATTTGCATTTAAAATGGTAATTTTATTCAACCACAATGCAACTTACTAATATTCCTAGCGCTAAAATATTATATATTTTTATTTATGTGCATGTGTGTGTGGGGGTAATAAAAAAAACAATTTCTTACAGTAATCAATTTAAAACATTGTGGCTATAATGTATCAGAAATACCAACGCTTATGCTGAAAAAATATAGTGACACCATCAGAGAACTTTAAAAAAAATAACTATATTTCTCAGGTTTTGTCTTATTATTACTATTCTCAGGTCTTGTGTGTCTGGAAGTTGAAACTTATATGGTTTTGAGCTGCTGCTGTAAACACTCTTGTAAAAGAGGTTTTAAACCTAATTCTTTTGTGTAGGAAAATAAATGTCTAGAACACATATATAATTTTTTAAAAAGTGTTGTGTATGAAATCACAGATTTTCTGCGAGGATTTCAGGCAAACAAATACAACACTACATTTCCCAGCATGCCTCACGCCATCAGCAGCTGCAACAGCGAAAGATTCCTCCGCCTCCCTCAACAAACAGGGCTGCGGACGTATTGCTTGGCCTTCCGCGACACACACGCACACACACCCCCTTATTAATAACACCACTTTTAATTTTCCTGCCTCCCCGCGAGCATCAAACCCCTCCTCAGCGAACAGCCATCGCGAAATGTACTTTTAACACCCCCACAAAATAAGCGCCTTCCGTAGCCACAGTGGCCGACACCGCCGCCGTGCTCCTAGCACTCTTCGTGTCCTCCGCCATTACAACAATGCGGCAGGCAGCATGGCAGAGAGGTGCGGGATGAAAAGACGCAGTGGAGGCAGCTCGATAACGCGGGGAAGACGCGCAGAAACACCGATTTAAGCGTCACAAGTTCGACTTGCAGCGAATGTGAGCGCAGCTGTTCGGTTGTACTCAAGCAGTGAACGTTAATGTGACGCTATAAAACGGTACAGGCAGCACAGACCCCCCCTCGGCACTTTTTAGCACAAGCCACAAGCATGGCCGCACTACCCACAATAACTTCGGCTCGCTTTGAGCCATAACGACAGCCTCCACAAGGTGTGCGGCAACAACAAACACTTTTAGACAAATCCATAACACACATTTCCCCCCACAGCGTGCATATTGCAACACCTATAGGCGACAGAGAGGGATTATTTGAAGGCAAATATTCGGATGTAAGCAGCGTGGTGTGTACGGAACCACGTGGTTTATGTTTGTTGGCTACAAAATACACGGATTTCGCACGGAAATGTACAGAATATCACAGAGCGGATGTTAAAGTCGGAGCAGGGGACTCTAACACACTCGGTCCCAATTTAACTCCAGTGTTTCATATTAATGCATGCAGCTCCTCGTGTGTGAGTCGCGTACACAAAAACATCAGACGCTTGTTGCCATGTAGTCCCCCCCCACACGCAGGTTTTTACAGTAACAACACACACACATCATACTGAATGAAGCACATGTTGGTTTACACACCTACAAAGACCACCAATCACTTCTTTGTCCGTTTTCCTGAAATGTTGCAAGGAGGGCACCTTCTGAGCTGGTACCATGAAATACTCCATGCTCGCCTCTCGCCAGTTTGGTCCCCCCACCTCTTACTAAAAAAAAATAAAATAAAAAACAGTCTCTGTAGATCAAAAGAAAAGGAGGGGAAGCCCGTGATCCGACGTAGGTTAGATCGTCAGAGAAGATAAGAATCCTTCGTCCGGAGTGAGAATTGTAATGTTACTCGACTTCCAGCTGATGGGGTTCCCTCGTTGTGTGTGGCGCTCTACCTCTGTCTCTTTCTCCCTCCCCCTTTGCCTTCTCTCCCTCTGCATGACCGTGTGTGTGTGTGTGTGTATGTGTGTGTGTGTGTGTGTATGTGTGTGTGTGTGTGTGTGTGTATGTGTGTGTGTGTGTGTGTATGTGTGTGTGTGTGTGCAGCTGATCGGATGGCTTTCAAGGCGGGAAACAGCTGGTAGGAGTCACACATCGCACCACAAAAAAAAGGCCTCCTTCCGCAGAGACGGAGGACTGCGTGTAAACAAAGGACTATTTAGTGCACCCGTTTATCTGTCAGGAAACGCAGAAAAACGGGATTAAATCATAACAACGGCAAAAAAGGGGAATTTAAACTATTTTTTCTCGTATGATTTCATTCTTTTTCTTATTCTTGCTTTTTTTTTTTTTTTTTTGGAAGAGGGTCTATTTAACATAAACCCCATTAACCTCGACGCTGAAGAGTTTATTATTAAACCACACGGTTCTGGACTCATACATCTTTTTTTTTTGTTGTTACAATAACGTCACCGACGAGCTGACAGCTCAGTAAATAAAGATGGGGTCTACTAGAGGAGGGGCGGACACTCGAACAGCTGCGATAAGCGAACAACAGAGATCAGCTGACGGGCTGGCTGCACAGCAACAGCGCACTGAGGGGAGGACTGCTGCAGCCTGACACACACACACACACACACACGCACGCACACACGCACTGCACGACTCTGTTTCAGGTGCAAAGAACAGGAGGATAAATTATCCCAAACCTATATAAATGTGTTTATTAGATGAAACTGCGCAGCAAAGCCACCGGAAACCTAGACAGAAGCTTAATCAAGACGTGTTTAATTACTTTAAATCTATGGCAAGCTTTCGTAACATATATTCAAAGCACGCACCTATTTTATAATGTTTGAAACTGCCCGTGACATGAAAAAAAAACTAATAATAATAATAATAATAATAATAATAATAATAATAATAATAATAATAATAATAATAATAAAATAAAACCATAATGTTGACACAGTAGGCTACACATCTTTTAGGGTAAAAACATAATAGAAACCCATTTTGTCACAGAATGCTTATTTTTGTTTAGAACTTGGCCAAAGGGCGATTGAAGTGAAAATAAGGAGGAACTTGATCTTTTCTTTTCTTTTCTTTTTTTTTAAAATAGGAGCAGAAAAGTGAAACCAACAAGCAAGTGGCCAAACTTTTGTTGGTTAAATTTCGTGTTGCACACAGCAATACACTTTTATTTCTCAGACTCAGAGCTATACGTTATAGATGAAAACTCATTTTTACTCCCTGGCCTTTCATTCTGGTAGAGTTTGAGATTCTTTTAAAGCGCATGTTTTAAATGTTCTTTTTCTCTATTTTAAATTGATCTTATTGTTTACACTTCTGCATTGCTTTGTTGTCTTATTCATTTGGCTGAATTGTGAAGCACTTTGGTCAACTTTTGTTGTTTTTATGTGCTATATAAATAAATTGACATTGACACCGAAAAGGCTCACCAAATCTAAATCAGTTTGCCACATGGCTGAGGCCTACACAAAAGTTTTATTTTTTTATCAGTGATGACTCCAGTTGCCTGCTTATATTTACAATACAGATTAAAAAAACCTATGTAAAAATATGTTTAATATGCTCAGCAGGAAATTGAGAGTAGAGATTACAGTAAATTAAAGTTCAGTCTTGGATTCTATAGGGCAGCTTTATTGTTAAGGTTTCTGAGTCAAGTTATAATATTCTTTTTGTGTACATTTTATTTGGCCAGGACCAATACAGGACAACAGTTGTATTTGGGCCTTCACGTCCAAATATTTTATATTCTTGTTTAAACTATTATAAAATGAAATCTCTATAGCACATACAAAAAACTACACATTAAAATCAAACAATATACCTAAATGTTTATATA